TTGTCGTTTGGCTTGCGCGTAAATGTTCGCATGAAAGTGACGCTTTCCTCGAAACCCTCTGCTGATGGAACAGGATGGTAGAATGCATGCAGAGCGAAAACTTTTTGGTCCTTTTATCCACAAGGGTCAGGCAATTAAAGCATTCATGGGGCAATTCAGGACCCTTAATCGAAATGCCACTTGAGTCTGTGCTACTCACTCAATGGCTACATCAAGTTGGGGGTGCATGCACCCGGAAATTGGTCATGGCATTCATTCCAAAGAGCTTCCACATGAAGTCCAGTGTTGCCATCTGGACAGTAGGTTCGAACAAGTCAGAAGACGGACACTCGCGGTTAATGCGTGAAAGCACGGACACTCCCATCCACTCCCGCACAACAATAAGGCCATTCACGAATTAAAGGACAAGGAAGCAGAAATTATTTGAAAATGCGAATTCGCTACTTTCTCGCATCACCACCACTTCTCACAGCCGATTACGAGTGAGACAAATGCTTTGGCTGCATCGGTTTGGCAAGTTCAACGGTAAAGGCTACACCTTGAGACGGCCTTAATTAGGACTTTGAATTTCGCACCGAGCATAAGAAACGTGTTCAGTGCTTTAAACACCTTCCATTCTGTCAGCAAAGAGCCGATGAGACTGTGCGACAGAAGTGGCTTGAAAGGCATAGATGAGGAGTCATTGAAGGATTCCGGCTCACACCAGTGTTTCGAATTGCAGCCAATAACTTCGCAGCCCAGTGGTAAGCTGGAGACCAATTCCATGCAAGTAAATGGCAGAAGAGTTAGTGGAAGTGAGATTGCCATGCATGAAGAGGGCTGCAGAGCCAGAGTTTGGTCAGGTTAATTTGTGGCTCCATGATGTCGACTGTCTTAGAATGCTATAGCATGAAGGGGGGAGAGATGGCAAGGGCAGCAGAAGATGCAGCTTTATGCCTGTTAGTTGAGTCGTCCTCATCCAGTACTCCAGAAGTTGTAGTTTGAGTACTTCACCAGCAATCACCCTCTTTACTTGGGGTGGAGTCTTTCGCGTTGCACTA